GATAAATCACGTTGCTCATGACGTATTAACGTTCTTAGAAATGGCTTCATTCAATTTGTTATTGTTTTGTTAAGGCTTTTTGTTTTTGTTTATGTTCATGAGGGATATTAGTCCATAAATTTCTTTTTTTATTTCATATTATATGTTTTAGTTTTTTATATTTATATCAGATTAAGTTAGGCTCACAAAATGAGTTAGAAAACATACGTCCTTTATTTTCTGAATGAATTAGTGTAAAGTTTGGCTTTATTTCTTCACCAAATGATTGTTAATTTCTGTGTGAAACAGTTTGGGCCAGAAGTACTAGGAAATGGATATCATTTGGATTGCAAGTTTATCAATAAGTTTCCTTGTCTGAAAGTAAATTTTAATTTATTAAATAAATATAGAACTATTTCTGTTTTCTAGTCATTTTTTGTCAGTTTTTAAAAGTTTTGTTATTCAAGAACTTTGTCCATTTCATCTAAAGTGTCAAATCTGTTGGCATAAAAATGTTTATAATACTATTATATTGGTGCCAGCTGGCGGAATAGTGGTTAAGATGGCTGGACCTCACATCGCCAACTGCACAGTTTGAATCCTGGACCCCGTGGCTTGAAAGTAGTGCATGTGTACCCAAAATCCCAAAAGGAGAATGGAAGAGAAGGGAGTGCAGTGTGGCATCCACTCTGGGGAGTGCTTTCTCCCTTTTCCTCTCTCTGTCTCTTTCCAGCAAGTACACACACCCTATAGTGCAAACATCAAATAATTGTATTATTTTCTGAGGTCTTTGTGATCTATTATGATGATGATGGTTTAATTCCTGATGTTGTTAGTAATTGGTATTTTCTTCTCTTTTTTTTTCTTAACCAGTCTTGGGTAGAGGTTTATCAATTTATTGAACTTTTCAGTAAGCCAACCTCTGACTATTGATTTCCTGTAAGGTTTACTGTTTCTTTGTTTTGTGCTCTTTTTATTTTTTTATTCTTCTAAGTTGTGTCTAATTTGCTTTTTTATAGTTTCTTGAGTTGGATGCCTATCTTGGCTTTATGCCTCTCTAATACAAGCATTTTAAGGCTCCAAATTTCTGTCAAAGTACTGCTTTATCTACATCCCCCACATTTTTTATATTTTATGTTTTTATTTTTATTCAGTTTGAAATATTTTCCATTTTTAAGAGCTCTTTATCTTTTAACTTTTTATATATTTTAATTTCTCATTTACATATAATTACATACTTTTTTGTTGGCTATAGTATGGTTTTTCAAAGCATGCATACAGTGTGTAATAATCAAACGAAGGCTATGGACATATTCATCATCTTTTAACATTGAGCATTACATTACATTGTGCAAACTAAACCCTATTAGTAGAAGAATGATAATAATATAGTACAAAACAATTTACTTCTTTATAGTTTGTTTCTTGAGTTGAATGCCTACATTATTGATTTTACATCTTTATTTCAAATATAGCATTTTAAAGTTCCACGTTTCCCTCTAAGTACTTCTTTATCTGAGTCCTGAACATGTTCATATTTATGTTTTGTTTTTTTATTCAGCATATGCACCACCATCACTGAGCATTGCATATGTTGGGCACATTCAATAGTTGTCCTACTACTTTTTGGGAGGTATAAATTAAATACAACAATGACCCTTTTCTTCTCTGTTGTGGTACCCTGTTCCTTAACCTATTTCCCTTGTTTACATGTGGTTTTGTATTTGTTACTTCACTACTCTCTACATCTATGCCACTGAATCCTTTAGTTTCCTCCACAGAATGTAGACATTTGGGGAACCAGAAGATGGTATAATGGTTACATCGCTGAACTCCCATGTAGTTGACCACAGTTTAAGTCCTAGACCCAGAAACTTAAAACTTGTGCATGCAAACCCAAAATCCTGAGAGGAGAATGGAGGAAAAGGGATTGCAGTGTGGCCATTTCTCTTTGTCTTGTGCATGTGCCCTATAGCAGAAATTTCTCCAAAAAAAATTAAAAATTAAAAAAAAAGAATGTGGACATTTGGTATATGTTAAGTGGGTCATATATTATTTGCCTTTTATAGTCTGGCTTATTTCACTTAGCATAATATCTTCTAGATTTCTACACTTTGTGTCAATTGACAAGATATTGTTCTTTGTGGCTGATCGGTATTCCATTGTGTGTATGTGCCACATTTTCTTAATCCTTTTATTGGGTGTTGGTTACTTAGGTTGATTCCATCTCCTAGCTATTGGGAATAACACTACAATAAACATATATGTGTAAATATCTCTCTGACAGAATGATTCCTTGTACTTTAGGTAAATACCCAAGAGTGGTATTACTGGGTCATATAATAACTGTCCGTTTAGATTTTTGAGGAACCTTCATACTGTTTTCCATAGTGGCTATACTATTTTTTATTCCCACCATCAGTATATGAAGGTTTCTTTTCTTCCACAAATATTTTTGTGACCTATGGATTATTTATAGTAGCTTTATTTAATTTTCAAATTGGACATTTCTTTGATATTATATTGTTCTTTCATAATTTAATACCACTGTGTTCAGGAAACATACTCTGGATAATTTCAGTCCTTTGAAATTTATTGAGACTTGTTTCATGACACAGCATATGGTCCATGTTGGTGAATATTTTACATGCTCTCATATATTTTAACATTAATTGTAATCTTCTGTAAATACTAGTTAGATCATTTTGTTGAAAATAATGTTAAAATTTTCTACATCTTTAGTGATATTTTTATCAAGTCCTCTTGCTTACTGATGAAAAAATGTTAAAATATCCATTTTGACTATGATTTTTATCTCTCTTTCCTTTTAGTTCTGCATTTTTTGCTTCATCCTTTTTGAAACTCTTTTATTTGCTACATATATAGTTAGGGTTGTTATAACTTCCTGATGACTTGGATGTTTTTATTATGATGACATGACACTCTGGTAATGGTCTTTGTTTTGAAGTCTACTTTATCTGATAATAAGTAAAGCCACATCAACTTTGCTATGCTTAGTGTTTGAATGGCGTACTTTTCTCCACTGCAGTACTTTTCTCTTGCTCATTTTGTATGGGATTAGTTTTACTGAACATTTAAGAGGAATAGATACATGAGGATAGCTTTTCTAGCTTCTTTGCACAATAGCTTTCTCTTCTATTGCTTTTGCACAATGGTAAATATGTTCTTCCTGCAGTATTTTTGTCTTTTGTTCTTGAGTTTATGCTGCACAATTTGAGTTTCACTCCCAGTATTTTCTCTCAGTGCAGATTTTGGCCCTAAAAATGAATTTCCCTTGGAAAGTACTAAGAGTTTACATAGCCTAGACTGCTCCCAGCCTTTTTAGAAATTACTATAGATCTTTTTTTCTCTTCCATCCATTATAATATATAACACTTCTTCCGGTTTCAGCTGAGTTTTCAGATTAGCCTGATACTTTTTACGAATACCTGTTTGTGATCTGGGGATTCTTCTTATGGTAAGCCTCCTATTGCTTTCTTCTGGTTCTTACACAGGTCATGTCCCCACATGAGTTAGATGCTGTCAGTACTGTCATCACCTGTTTGCATTCAGAGGTTTGTGGGGATATTGGGTACTTAGTGTCCCTGTGGTACTATTCTGTGAACTTTGATTTTTAATATCTCAGTTGCTCTATTTTTGTGTAGGATTCAAATAATTCTGCTGTGGTAGCTATCTTTTTAGAGCTCCATGGAAACTCCATTGCAGAGAATTCTTTCTGTTCTAACTGGTATTTGTAACAAAAGCAGTATGGTGCTGATATTTTCCAGGAAAAGCCATGTAAGAATCTAGATTAGAGAGTTTTTGATTGTTCAGTGACCTATGGAATTGTCTCATATTGTGATAATATGACATTTTCCCCCCCAATTTTAGTTTTTGCTATAAGGAGTGTGTGCTCCCTGGAGAGAGAGAGAGAGAGAAAGTGATAAATCACCCATGGGGATGGGATGTCCATGCCACAATACTTTCTCCTCCATTCTCTTCTCAGGATCTTGGGCACACATGCACACATGCCTGGAATGTTTTTCAAGCCTCCAGATCTGGGACTTGAACTGGGAAGTTGGCCACATGGGACCCAGCTGTCTTAACCACCGTGCCACAGGCTAGCCCAGCATTTTTTTTAGTGTATGACTGCATTTCTTTTCACTACTGACTCCTAGTGTGCCAGTCATTTTGAGAGCATCTTGCAGAATAGCCTATGTAGTCAGGAAATTCCCAAATAAGATGCCTCTTCTTTGTACTGATCTTATATTTCTACGTAGTGAATGAGACCCTCCTTATGTTGACCAGGGTCTTTGTCTAGATCATTATTCATAGGATTATAAGACTCACTATTAAGTCATACATTTAGTATTTGCTAGTCATATGTTCATTGTCAAATAACCTTTGAAATTCTTCTGAGCATCATGGAACTGTAATATGAATCTGTATCTGTCCAACCTTCTGAGGACTGGACCTCCTGAACCATGTATAGTCACAGTGTTGACTGCCATGTTGGTATTCACTCAATCACAGGGTCAGAATCATTAATGAGAGACTTTATCAGCACATCTTGGACTCTTGCTCAAACCAGCCCCCATAAGAAGTGTAAGAAGACATTTGGTATATGAATAGCATATATGGAATACATATCAGTTTGAGAGCAAATGGCTGATATTTCATTCGTTCAGAGTTTAGAAAGTATAGGCTCACTACTTCCCATATATTCCAACTTGATTACAGATTTATTTCTGAAATATGTCAGATATATAGTGATTAATTTTCAAAATGAATTTGGACCGGGGTAATTATTAGTTTAGGAAGATTTTTGTTAGCTGCTACTATCTTTGTCTAAAACTCTATTGTGAGACTGTAAGAGAACTACTGTTTGTGTCTGAAGAACTTGAGTCCTCTTGGTAATAATAATTGTGCATGAATGAAATCAGCATTTGGATGGAGGAATAATATTCCATATTGGAAAGTAATCATAACTTTTATGCTCTTATGTGTGTGTGTTTTGACAGCTTTTTGGAGACGACAGCCTATTTCTTCATGAAACCAAAACTTGGAGAGAAGGAGGTATCCCCAAATGTTTTCTTCACTCTCTGGCATGAATTCAGCTCTGACTTTAAAGACTTTTGGAAGAAAGAGAACAAACTTATTCTACAAGAGAGGTAGGTATTTTCATTTGTACAATGGCATTTAAAAACTGGTATTTTATTAGGTGTGACACCACTGAGGTTTGCCAACTTTTATAGCCTGAGTGAAAAATTAGATGGCCCTCAACCTGGAGTTACAAGTCAAAGAGGGTGCTGACATTTGGCAGAATTTAGAGTTAGAATGAGAAGAGTCAGGACCGAGGTTGTGATGCCACAGAGGATAACTGGGATGATGGTTTGCCAGCATTGCTGTCTGGTAAAATAACTTGTTAGGAGGAAACCACATAAAAGCAGACCATGTAACAAAGATTAAACAACCTTCCTGGAATGATAAACCCACTCACCTCAAAAGATGGATAACAATACTATCAAGGTAAGATGAATAGTTTTTGTTTTTGCTTGATTCATGGGATATTGTCACTTTCGCATGTTTTTCCAAATTTCACCCAGATGTCACCAAGGAACACAAATGATCACTATTTTTTTAAAAGACTGTTCAAGATTCTTCTAGAATTATATCATATTTCCTAATGTAAATTTTTTTTTAGGAATGAAGGGACATTTCTTCTCTTAAGTATGTGAAATAAATTCTCCATGATAATGAAATTCCTTTGAGGCATATTAAATATTAAGTCATGAAGAAAGCTAGCCTTCCCCAGGAAGCATCCCCAAATAGCTGGGTCTGGTGGGAAAATGAAAGGGAAACATAATCTACACTATAAAGCAAGTCCTAATACCGAACCAATTATACTACATCCTAACATCCCTGCACTGACAATGAGTTCGCTTTAGATCTTTAGAGAACTTACATCCTGAGGGACTTCATTCATCACTACCACAAAAATTCCACAGTTTTCTGCTTATTGTCTTCATTTTGGTCTGCTTACATATGAAGCCAGGATCATCCACTTCACTTTCATTTGTAAATCAATTTTAATAACCTCCCTAAATCAGGCAAAATTAATTGCCGACAATTTTTAGGCATCTCAATTGTGCCAGATGTGTGTACACTCATATAATTAATTAGATGTCATCATTCTACACCTCAGTAAGAAACTGTGCACCAGTAAATAATAGATGGGGAAAAAAAGAAGTTGAAGAGAAGGAAAACTGCTTAAACTTCTCCTTTAAAGATAATGAGCTTATTCTACCTAAAAAAACAAACAAACAAACAAACAAAAACAAAACAAAACAAAAAACAAAGTCCATCAGTAGAGGTATACACAAAAAATGAGGTTTTAGTAAGATGTCCATGCAGGTGAAGTAAAAAATACAGTAGTCTAAAAATGAGCACATTTGAATCACTGTTTCTTTTTTGCAGAATTAGCTATGTATTAAGTGATTTTTACCTCCCAAAAGGAAAAGAAAACTTTTTTTTTTTTCATGTTAGCACATCATATGTACCTAACTTCCCTTCATGGCTCAGCCTAGGTCTCCACATGCTTCCTTTTATCACAGATCTGAACTTGTACCCCTAGAAAAAAGTTTGGAATTCATTCACACTAAGGTTCAAAGTGCTACACCTTACATGATTATTTGCACTGTAGCTAGGATTAGAGTCCTCAATGAAGGCAGAAGTGGTATGGATTTAGGCATCAACAAGAGTGGACTGATGGTGCTTAGCTGTCCTGATGCACTGTGAGCAAGTGCATACCTGCAGAAATGGCTTGGTCCTGTCGGGGCACAGTCTCTGGAGGTCTCAGAACAAGATCATGGTAAGCACACTCATGGTAGCTCTCTTCTGCTACCAAACAGTAGTATGTAAGCTGGTGAGATGCCATCTTGGAGAAGACATTGGGACTAATTCAGGGGTACACCTCCCTAAGCATATGCACAGTCTCTGTCCAATGTGTGCCCCATGAGACAGAACTGTGTTTCGAGGTAACAGCATCAGCAGTGACCCACTGCTTGATGGTATTGTATGAATGCATGTGAGGTGCCCAGAACTGGTGTTCCTTCACTCTCTAAGTATCTCAGACTGCATCCTGTGCTTGTCATGCTCTAGGAACACTCTATGGGCTTTTGGTGACTTTGCTTTTATTTGGACAGTATTGTAGTATTGTAAATTAGCAGAGTATTAGTATTCTTTATCACAGACTTCTCATTTTTTCTCTATTTTTTTTTAAGAGATAGATTTTTGCTGTAGGGAGCATGTGCTCGCTAGAGAGACAGAGAGAGACAGAGAGACAGAAAGCAAGAAATCATCCCCCAGGGGTAGATGGCCATGCTGCAATCCCCTCTCCTCCATTTTCCTCTTGGGATTTTGGACACACAGGCATATGCCCCCAGCATGAGTTTTAAGCCACCAGATCCAGGACTTAAACCACAGTTGACTGTGTGGGAGTTCAGTGACCTAACCTTTATGCCATCTGCTGTTCCCTTGACTCATTTGATTTGACAAAGGGCCACAGAAGAACATGTGGCAGGTGAGATTGCTGCTTTGTCCTTTGACTTTAAAAATCTATTATACTCCTTAGCAAATGATAACCAGGCTACTTTGAAGAAGTCATTAGTCTGAATTTGTTTATAGAACAAGTTTAATCCCTTTCCTTAGCACTGGACCAGCTACATAATTTCTGGGAAATAGTATGACCCAAAAATGTGAATCTCTTGTTCTATTTGTAATTTCAAGATGGCGAAGTATTAAACCAAGTGCAGAGGCTTTCTGAGGACGGTGCCCTCATTATTGCCCAAATCCACACCTATGTGGTCAGTCCTGCCTTAGTGGAAACTTTCTATCACATTTGTGCAATTACATAGAAGGGTATTCCAGGAATATTTTGGTTCCCTGAGGTAGTGATAGGGTGTGAGGGTGTGGTCCTTTAAGACTGTGAAACTGAAACTTCTAGTATAGTTGCTCTGAGTGTGAGCAGAACCTCAAGTAGATTACACATACTTAAAATGGGATGTGGTTTCCTATCCTATTTATTTCCCTCCTCTGTCTGTTTATAAGTATCATCAACATATTTAGTTTGGTTGCTAATCCCATGCTACCTAACAATATTTCCAGTGCTTCTTGCATTTTGGTTTTTATTTCCCGGCAGTTTGTTTAGTATCTTTCTTTTTTTCCCCTGGAGTATGCATGCACTTACTGGAGAAAGACAGAGAGAGATAGGAGGAATGGCCATGCTGCAATCCCTTCTCCTCCGTTCTTCTCTCAGGATTTTGGGCATGCATGCATGTGTACCCAGTGTGATTTTTAAGCAGTTGAGTCTAGGACTCAAACCATAGATTCAGCCATATGAGATCCAGCCACCTTAACCGCCACGCCGCCAGCTGGCCTGCCTTTCTTCTCTGTGTCTTCATAAATATTTGCTGATTGGGGCCAGCAGGTAGCATAGTGGTTAAGGTGCTGGATTCCCACATGGCCAACTGCAGTTCAAAACCCAGAGTCCCAGACCCAGCAGTTGGAAACTCAGTGCTGGGTATGCATGTGTGCATGCCCAAGATCCCAAGAGGAAAATGGAGGAGAAGAGATTGTGGCATGGTCATCCTCCTTGGGGGGTGATGTCTCACTTTCTCTCTGTCTCTGTCTCTCTGGCAAGCACACACACCCTATAGCAAAAAAATCTCTCCTAAAAATATGTGTGTGTGTTTGTATGTGTGTGTGTGTATTTGCTGATTTGACATACTGCATTATTGTCTTTGATATGGTAATAAAAGCCTCACTTCAAATACCTTCACCCAAAAGAGACACCTTGCTTAGGCAGTCGAACCATGTAAGGGCAGGGATGAAACTTGCCCATGCAGTGCCTCAATGCAGGATTCATCCAGTGGTGTGAGTCAATCCCGTTTCAGCAAGGGGACATGCCCCATAGCCAAATGAAGTGAAATGAAATAAATAAAATGTTTTATCAGACTAGCCTGAGACCTGCTAGTTATGGTGACTGGATCCCACATGGCCAACAATATGGTTTGAGTCTTGGACCCTGGTCAAATACAGTGCGGGTTTTTTGTTTGTTTGTTTGTTTGTTTTTATCTACTTGAAACTAGGCATATACTTATTAGTAAGCAATTCTTTTTTTAAAAAATCTATACTTGTCTGGGAACCAGCAGTTAGTGTAATGGCTATGTCACTGGACTCCCACGTAGTCTACCGTGGTTCGCGTCCCGGACCCGGTGGCTTAAAACTCACACCGGGCGCGTGTGCATGCGTGCCCAAGATCCCGAGAGGAGAATGGAGGAGAAGGGATTGCGGCATGACCATCCCCCCTGGGGGTTGATTTCTCGCTTTCTGTCTCTCTGTCTCTCTCTGTCTGTCTGGCGAGCACACGCACCCTATAGCGAAAACCTCTCCAAAAAAAAAAAATCTATACTTGTCAACACCGAGTGACATAAAATATGAAAAATATATTTTTTAAATTGACACATAATGGTGGTACAGATCTGTGGGGTAAAGTTTTTTTTAGCACATGAATTTAATACATAATGATCAAAGTGGGATAGTTAGCATGTCCATCATCTCGAACTTTTATCATTACCTCCTGTTGGAAACATTCAAAATTCTTTCTTTTCGCTAATCTGAAGTATGCAGTAAATTATTGTTAACTGTAGTTATCCTACCGTACTAGAACTTCTTCCTCTTATCTAACTGTAATTTTGTATCTCTTAACCAACATCTCTCAAAATCCTCCCACCACCACTCTTCTCAGCCTCTAGCAATCACTGTTCTTTTCTTTTTTTTTTTTAAAGAGGTTTTTGCTATAGGGTGTGTGCGCTCGCTAGAAAGACAGAGAGAGACAGAGAGAGACAGAGATACAGAAAGCGAGAAATCACCCCCCCAGGGGGATGGCCATGCCTCAATCCCTTCTCCTCCATTCTCCTCTCGGGATCTTGGGCATGCACACATACGTGCCCGGTGTGAGTTTGCGCCACCAGGTCTGGGGATCAAACCACAGTCGACTACATGGGAGTCCAGTGACATAGCCTTTATGCCAACTGCTGGTCCCTGTAATCACTGTTCTACTCGCTGCTTCTGTGAGGTCTTTTTGTTTGTTTGTTTGTTTGTATGAGTC